TTGTCTCTTTTACTGACTGGTAATGGGATCGCAACCCTCGGTGTCGCGCCTGTACAATTCATATAGGTTTTTCATTCTTATACACAAAGCTTTTCCATATTCTTCTTTTTTTTTTTTTACTTTTTGTCTCTTTTACTGACTGGTAATGGGATCGCAACCCTCGGTGTCGCGCCTGTACCGGGGACTGGCAACGGAATCACAACCCTCGGTGTTGCGCCTGCACCGTGCTCAGCCAGTGAGCAGGAACCCGTCTCCACATGGGATCCGAACCCTCAGCGGGAGCGCCGCCGCGCTCCCAAGCTGCGCACTCTCCAGTGCGCCACCGGGCCGGCCCTTCCATATTCTTCTTATTAACAGGGTTCTCTTATACACCTTAATGTTATTTACTAAAAGTACCTCAATTAAAAAAAAAAAAAAAAAAAAACTATGAAAAGCCCTAATAGTATATAATTTAAATGTGATTAATTCAGAAAACATTTCTAAATGGCACAAAAAAAATTTTAAAGCATTTTTCTTCAATAACTTATAGATGTTTAATGTATACAAAAATGCTATTTATCTAGAACTAATTTTCCAGCAGAGTAACATTATTTATGAAACTATGCCCCAAAGTTTCTTAAAGTATTTGCAGAACCACTTTGTATTTTTAACTTATGTTGAGGGACTATTTTATACACAAATCCCTACTATAATGTATCCAATAATAACAACAGCTAAAGGATCTTATATACAATCTGAGAAGAATCTATATTATAATTACATTTGTAAGAAACTGCTTATGACTTAGCTACATTTAAGAACAAAGTTCCTGATAATTTTACATTCATGCAGATAGAAAAAAAAAATGATGAAAGTTATATTTCTTTCCCTACAAATAAGTGAGCAACGACAAACCAACAGTGGCTATCAGATAAAATTTAGTGCAAGAAAAGAGTAACCATCTGCCTGGCTGACTTAGAAATTTAATGTACTTAAATGTCTAAGGAAACATCTCCAGGTGTTCAATTTAGGATAAACGTTTATTTTGATTCTTCACCAAAAAAGACACATAACATTTTCTAAGCAGAGGAAAAAGCTACTAATTGAATATTGAAAATTTTAAAATATTTCAGAGAACTAATTAGGAACGTATTGCATACATCAGGCAACTGTTTAGCAGTAAGAATCTTACTATTAATAAGCTGTGTGACAGACATAATTTTATTACTCCATCTGTGAAATATTTGTTTCTGGGCATCCAAATTTCCACAAACCTTAAAAAAAAGTAGGCATAGATGTTGTAAATATAATCCTAAAATAATTTCTCTTTTCCTTCAAAAATCTCTGCCATATTGACTTTATATACACACAAAATTGGAAATAATCCAAATGTCTAACAAAAGGTATACATCACGTTTAAGAATACTATACAGTGTTTTTTTTTTTAAAAACTAGATCTACATTGTTAACATGAATAAGTTTTCATAATAAATGAGTGAAAAATGCAAGCTGCAGAATACATATACGATTACGATACCAGCTGTGTAAAATTTAAAAACACACAAAAAAGTACATAGTATTTACGGATACATACAAATGCAGAAAAGGTATAAAAGCATGTACGGAAAGAATACACATCAACTTCCAAATAGTGGTAACCTATGGGGAGAATGAAGAATGACTAGACTGGGACGGATACAAAGGGGGTTTAACTCTATCCATCATGTTCACACTACAGAAAGATCTGAAACAAATATAATGTTAACATAGTTAAATCTGGTGGTTTTACAGACACCCATTATATTATTCTCTGTACTTTTCAACTTTGATATATTCCACAATAAAAATGAAAATATTCACAGAATGGGGCCAGCCCGTGGCTCACTCGGGAGAGTGCGGTGCTGATAACACCAAGGCCACGGGTTCGGATCCTCTATAGGGATGGCTGGTTAGCTCACTGGCTGAGCATGGTGCTGACAACACCAAGCCAAGGGTTGAGATCCCCTTACCCGTCATCTTTAAAAAAAAAAAAGAAAAGAAAATATTCACAGAAAAAAGGTTAAATCACTGTTACCATTTACAGATTAATTAGGCATGCCTGACAACACCAAGCCAAGGGTTGAGATCCCCTTACCCGTCATCTTTAAAAAAAAAAAAGAAAAGAAAATATTCACAGAAAAAAGGTTAAATCACTGTTACCATTTACAGATTAATTAGGCATGCCTGACAACACCAAGCCAAGGGTTGAGATCCCCTTACCCGTCATCTTTAAAAAAAAAAAAGAAAAGAAAATATTCACAGAATAAAGGTTAGATCACTGTTACCATTTTCAGATTAATTAGGCATGCTAAAACACAACACAACGCAGGTTTTCTTTCCCAAATAAGACAATAAACTAACAGAAAATGTTACATAATTGGCAATGTACACTATTATAAAGTATCCACTGACTACTATATTTAAAATATACAACAGTTGAATAACAGGATTTAAATGCTTTTACTTTAAAACCTCTACCTTGAGTCAAAGGATCTAGTTTCAGACCACAAACAGGCTTTCCTTGCTTTAAAGAGTAACCCTTTGAATTTTCTTCTATGCCATTTCCTTTAAATGTGATTCAGAATAAAAGGTTTAATGTACACGGTATAGAGGAGACCTGGCTAACTGTACTTAAATAAAACTAGTGAATATACACTGTATTATAATATAAACTTTCCAAAGATGATAATAAATTACTGCCAGTAAGAAAACCTTTCACTTTTCAGTCTGAAACTTTTAACCTGCAAGGAAAATACACAAGGTCTGTAACTTTGTTTATCCAACATTTTTTCTTGTCAGGAAAGCTTTCCCATCTTTGTCAGAATAATACTTCCTTGATCATAGGTGAAGTCTTTCAAATTAAAGACAAACAACTACTTGCCTGTTGTTTCTGATATGCAGTGTTTGGATTTATCTTTGATTCCAAGAGTAGTGATCCTGGAAAATAAAAAATAATGTTAAGTCTCAAATTATAAAACCTTGGATAAAAAATAAGAATACACATTTTTTAAAACCAAAAGAACTTTTCGGGTCTCTTCACCCAGCTAGACATCTGAAGTAATAAAACACTCCAATTCACATTTTTCTCTCCAGATCTAGTCTTCATACTTAATTTAGGATATTTCATCCTTTCCCCATACACCCTTAAAGGAAAAAATCCACCTAAAACCAACATTCAGACCAAGAAGATGAAGAGACTAGAGGACTATTAAAAGTTTTGTTGAGATGAGAATTTTAAGGTCTAAATGACCACCTGAAGCCAAACTCTTTAACAAAAGTTGTTTTATTGCATTTCCAGTTTAACAAAATAAATTACAAAGAATCACAACTTACTTAGTATACAAATTACAGTGCTGTATCTATCCTTTTCTCTTTAAGAACAAAAGGAAGAACACGTATAGAAATAAATGTCCTTGACTATTTTAAAAGGAAAAGTGCGAGTACAAAATATGCCAAAAATAAATCTAAAATAGTTATTTCTCCTTTATCTGCATATATCAGTTGTTAAAATCGAGGCGTTCGGATCACACTATAAAGGTATTTTAATTACGGCTCTAAATTTAATAATTTTAAAATACCTCACATGACTCGTACCATAAATCAATCAACGAAAACGAGTTTACATTCTGCTTTGGTATTCTAACCTGTTTAGATTGTAAAGTATCCACTTTTTCATAGCATCCTCTACAAAGGCAGCCTGGAGGGATCCCTGACTAAAGATGTATGTGCTTGTGCGTACACACATCCTGGCAACAGTATGCAATAAACCCAGGAAAAGGTGAATTTGGTTTTCCCTAGCACCTGTCGACTGTAGCAACTACAGCCTGTTGGTGAAATCCGGATAAAAAAGGACACTCAGAAAGTAAAGTTTCGCTAAGCATTTTGTAGTATACACATAATAGATAAGAAAATAAATAAAGGGGTATGGGGGTGTCAGCTCCGTGGAGCGAGCAGAGCATTTACGTTGTCTCTCATTACTTCCTTCCTCTCTCTCTCTCCCTTCTTCAAAAGAGGAGGGATTGGACAGGAAGGGGTCAAATCCTTAATAGGGATAGGAGGCGGAGGAACAGAGAATCGGCGTCTGAGGGGAGATCCACACAAAGTAGTTTGTTACTACCATACAGAAAAAGCAAGCTCAAAACCAATGCGCTGTCCCAAGAGGTGGTAGTAACACTAACCGGGCCCAGGGCCTAAACCCCACGCTGTGCCCCAACTGGAGGCACTGTCCCCTGTTCTAAAGTTCCAATAATCTTACCGTCGGACTCTGCCCGAACCAGCAGCGACATCCCCTTGAGCTCCTCCACATAAGTGGAGGAGACGTGCCCGGTGCCTCGGTCGTCCCATTGCCGGTCTTCGTTCAGAGTATAGACCTTCACTCGCCGCCGCGTATCCGACATGGTGCTGCTGTCCTCACCACTCCAGCCGCCGCCTCCTCGCTCACCTCGTCGGCGCCCCTCACTCTCGAGAGGCGGTGGTAGCGGCGGCGGCGGCGGCGGCTCCGGAGAGGCCCGAGTTCACCATGGCTCCGAAGGTTCAGCCGCGAGAAGGGGTGACAAGAGCCACTGAGACTCCTCCACCTGGAGTCCCCGTTCCCCTCACTTCACTTCCGCACACACACACTCTCCCCTCCTTTTACACCCCAGAGCTCGCTTGCTCTCCCGCCGCCGCCGCCGCCGCCGTAACCACTACAGATCCGCCATCTTGTAACCCGACTCTTTGCCTTTCTCTTCCTCCTCCAGCAGGCTCGCACGGGCTGTCCTAGCAGGGGCTACGGCGGCCGACGAGTCCAACGTACCGCACCACCGCTTCAGCACGCGCTTCCCGGGCCAGACGGCTCGGCGCTCTCGCGAGAACGAGTGCACGACTGAGGTGGGAGGGCCTAAGTAGAATTTCCTCCTCTCCCAGCTCCGCCTCCTGGCGCGGGATCTCGGTTGGGCGGGCGGTTCTCGCGAGCTTTCTGCTGCCGTCTGCTCCGTTAGACGTCCTTCTGTGGAAGGTGGCGGAGGCCGAGTCGCGGTCGCAATTGGTCGCACAGGTTGCTGCTGGCACCCTGCGTGTGGCGTGCGCTGGGACTCAGCTCTGGGGAAAAAGCGAAGCAAGCGTTGGAAGTATGCAGCCTTTAACAGGACTAACCCGGAACAAAAAGTAAGGAAATGTACTCTCATTCATTAATGAAAAGTCACCTTGTCGAGAGGGGGAAAAAAAAGTGTAAATCTCTTTTTGTGAACACGAAGGAACTTTGAGCCCTTTCAGCAGAACCGAAACCCACTAAAATTCGTTATGGAATCTATTCTAATTAAGCAACTACTCAGGGAGTGTGTTCTATGGACTAAACTCTCCCAGCGACTTTAACGTAGTACAAAAGTGTGTTGACCGTTTCCTATTTCCCGCCAAAGCGTTTCACCGTTAGGGTCCTAGTAGCTAGCTTTGAAAAGCATGTTTTCCACTTCATGAAAATACAGGGTACTTCCCGTGGTTGTACCCTAGGAAAATAAACCCGCTGATAAATTTAGGGAGATGGCGAGAAGCTACCTTCCCAACACATCTGAGAGCACTGACTTGATACTTTAGAGTTTCTCTTGCGGTCATTTCCTGCGTTATCTATCACTGAATAAGTGAAGGAAGAATTCTTTTGGCATTCAAGTTAATTGTCAGACATTGCGCGGTGGATACAAATTACGCACTGGGACGTGATAGTATGCCGTTGATTTCAATCCCCGCTCGTTCTTGGTAGAATCCCTTTATTCCCACAGCTTGTTCAGCCTCTAATTCTTTACAACCCGTTGCCCCCAAGGGTGAAAACCGGGCGAGGTGCACGCGTGGACCTTGCAGTGCACCTTGGGAGTTGTAGTCATTACTTATCAATGGTCTCGTCAAAACGTGCTTATGTTTTGACCAGATCACGTGTGTGGGGACACCCTTCAGCAGCACAGTAAAACGTGGGACAGTGTTTTACACAGAGCAGGCTCCCGATAATTTCAAAATCTAGATTCGCAGTTTTTTTTTAATCTATAAAACCTCAGAAAATGTACTTGAATTAAGACGTTATAATATACATAACAATAGTCTAATCATTGCTGTGATTGATGTGAACAAAATGTATTTTAAGCCCAGAGAAAATAACATTTCTGTCTTGGAAGGGTCAGAGAAAGCTTCACACAGACAACTTTCGATTCTGATGTTGGAGAACACCCCAGCCTTCTGTCCAAGCCCCGTCTACACTCCCTTAATATAGTTACCACTTAGCCATTCCTTAGGAGGATGGAACTTGGGAAGAGGACTGTGCAGACCCTGGAAGCAGACTTGACCTTTGGGGTAGGGAATTCGAGGTTGCCCATAGCATGATCCAGACGGGGGGCGGTGAGCTCCATGTGGACACGCCCATTGATTCCATGGACCTCTCACCCCATGGGGAGATGCACCGGACAGAAGGTGAGAACAATGTCCTTTAAAGAACAGAGCCCATTGCTTACGTCTGAGGGCACTAGTGCACCACAACCACGTTTTCCCAGTGGATAACTGCCTGAAGAAAAGATGTTCCACTCCAGAGTTGCTATCTAAATGAGCCCACAACCCCCCTTTGTTTCTTTTGAATAGGTAATGCCTTTACATGTACAAATTCAAAGTTGGAAAAAGGTTATTCAGTGAAAAATAAGTTCCCTTTCAGTCTGTCTTTTGCCACTCAATTTTCCTCTCAGAATCACCATTATTCCACTTTCCAGTATATGTTCCAAAAGGGCAGGCTTCATGGATGTGTGTGAGCTGTATAGTTTCCCATTTGGTTTAATCCTCTGCTGTTACCGTCTTGAAATGCTTAACAACTTTCGAACAGGGCCCCACAAAGTATGTCCTGTTCCAGAGAAATTCTGTGCATGTGGAAGTAAATTTATTTCAATGTATGTATATATATAAATATATAATATATACATCTATCGCCTTTTTAATACAAATAATGGGATATTATGCACACTGTTCCTTACCTTTTTATTATTTAAAAACATCTTGGCAATGGTTCTGTATCAATGTGTAAATAGAGCTAACTCATTCTACTTAGTGGCTATGTAGTAGTCCGTTGTACAAATGTACCCTAATTTATTTTACTCATTTCCTATTTATGTATATTTGTGTCATTTCCAATGGTTTTCAATTTCAAACAATAAATGATTGCACAAAAGTTATTTTATGTGTGCTAGTATATTTGAAAGTTGAATTCCTAGAGCAGGGTTTCTCCTCAGCATCATCGACATTTTGGGCTGGATAATTTTTGTTAGGGGCCGTCCTGTGTATTATAGAATGCATCCCTATATGTTACTTAAAATCTTTCAGTGGCCAAAATCCTAATCCTTTTTATGATTTATAAGGCTCTTTTGGTCGGGCCTATCCCTACCTCTTTAGCTGCATCTCAGAACCTACACACTCTTCTTTCAGACTCTCATGCCCCTGCTTGCCATGGTGTCTTTGCACAGGTATTCACTGCCTAGAACTTTCTTCCTGCCAATCATCTCTTGAAAACTCCTGCTTTCTCCTTCAAATATCTCCACAATTATCACTTACAAGGAGGAGCCTTCCCGGACTCCCTTGAATACTTAAAATCCCCTTGGAATGTTACAAGTACCAAGAAAACACAATTTAAACTGGTTTAAATAAGAATTTATGGGCTCATATGAATGGGAAGTCTGGAGATAAGATGAACCTCAGAGTTGATTTGATTGACTCAACGGTATCAGCAAGAACTTGATTTCCTTCTGCTTCTCAATTCTACTTTCTGCTCTGTCAGATTCATCCTAAGACTTAAACTTTTTGTATAAAATGGTTGTCAAGAGCTCCCAAGGTTACATAGTTCTTCATCCACATCAAAAGAGAGTTTCTTTCACATATTCCTCGTTTTGTTATAATTAGACTAACTTAGGTTACATGACCAACCTTGAAACTAGAGTTTTGTGATCTAGGGAATGTCAAGCTGCTGAGGCAAATCAGGGTCTATTCCTGGAGCTGGGGTGGAGTTAATTCCATCCCAAACCCATGGATGTTATTCTATGGGGTAAGGATAAAAAGGTGCTAGGAAGACAACCAGAGTATCCATTGTATCCTTCTATTACACACTCTTATGGCACCATGCACCCCCCACTCCACTGTAGCACTTATCATACTTGTACCTTTATTTGTATGATTTATGGTTAATAATTGCCTCCTCATCTAGATGAAAAATGTCTGAGTCCAGGAAACCATTTTTTTTTTCTCACTGTTGTATCTTCATTGTCTAGCATAGGGTGTCAAACACAGCAGATTCTCAATAACTATTGAAAGAATAAAGCTTTTCTTAGAGGTTAACTACTCAGTTTGACATAATCCCTAGCAGGCAATTTAATAACTACCATATCAGACTCAACTGAGATTAAATTATATCTTTTTTTTTTTATTGTAACATAGTCGATTGTACATATCTGTGAGGTACATTGTTGAATATCAATACCTGTGTGCAATATGTGATGCTCAAATCAGGATAATTAGTAAATTCAACAATATACAATGTAATTGTTTTTTGTGGCCCTTTACCAATTCCTCCCTTACCCCACTTCCCCCTTTCCCACTTCTGGTAACCCCAGTTCTGTTCTCTCCTTTCGAAAGTTCAGTGTATTATTGTGATTGTTTTATCTCTTTTTTATTTATACATTTATTTTTTAGCTCCCACTTATGAGTAAGGTCATGCTAAATTACATCTTTGAAAGACCCAGACTAATTTCTACCTCCAGGCAGTCAATCCTTGAGTAATATTTGTGGAACAAATTTGATCATATTATATTCTTTTAATATCTTTCAATAGTTTCTGATTTCTAGTAGGATAAAGTTCTTTAGGACGGCTTACAAAGGTCTTCATGGTTTGGCCCCTGGCTGGCTTTCTATTCTCAAGAGCAAGGCTATATAGATTGCTGGCCTTCTTTAGGGTATTTTTCTCTTTCAATCATAGCCCCTCAGTTTTTAGAAGTCTTTTTCTGAGGGAGTGTAGGTTTTTCAGAGATTCCCCCATATTCTGTGTGGGTAAAGGCATTCTAGAAGGGGTGCAGAGGAAAGAGGCTAGAAATCTCATTGTTTTGTATTCAGGCTTATATTTAATCCCCACTTTTAGCATTGCTTCATAATTGCCCACTATTTACTGTGACTAATGTTGTCAAACAAGTCTCTCCCATTCCAAAAAATAAATCTCAATGGTGGTGGCGGCAGTGTTACAGGGACATGTATGGGCATGAGTGGGTATGTGTTGTGCAGGGGGATGGTAGTACTTTGGTTATATAAGTTTGGGAAGTGGACCCAGGAATGTAGCTGCTATCTTCACCCTGCCCTTAGATGTTGTGCTGTGAGTCTTTCTGATTTTTTTTGAGAGTTCTCTTTTTCTCTCTAATCACCTCTGGAATCTTTTAGGTTGTAACTTCCTCTGCTCTGTTAAGCTCACTACTCTCCCATCTGCTTGTTGTGCAACCAATGTTTATTGAAATCTCTTGTCTGCTATTGTCTTTTCTATTTTTGTTTGTCCTTTGGATTCTATACTTGTCAAAATTTAACTGTCGGAGATGAGATACTTGTGTGTGGTATTGTGATATTCTAATATGTTTTTATTTTTTTTTAATGTTTAGTTCTGTAATCCACTTTGAATTTTTTTTGTAAATATGAAGTGGGATGCTAATTAAAAATATTTTTTCAAATGGAGAGCTAATTGTCTAAACATCATTTGTAGATGAAATAATTTGAAATGCTATCTTTATCACATTCATTACTAAATTCACACGTACACATATAAATTCACACCCTCATATACAGTATCTAAGTTTGAGTATGAAAATTCACTATTATTCTGTTTCAATTGCTTTATTTGTTCAATTCTAGTAGAACAGTTTTAATTGCTATAGTTTTGTTTGTTTTTGTCTTTTTGCAGCTGGCTGGTAATAATTGCTATAGTTTTAGAGTGTTTTGATATTTGGTAGTGTGGTGGCCATAGAAGTGTGCCACCCAGATCTCCTTCATGAGAACCTACTCCAGGGAGTATAGGTGACTGACAGTCAGCTGCCATCCCTTTGGATTCAACGTGCATTCCTGCTGATGCTGAGCACGGCAGGGGTATTAAACTTGTCTTTTCTTGCCCATTAAAGGAGTTCTATATTGACTTGAGGAACTTCTCATTAACCTAGCTGATACTATCTTAGAAATACACTGTAATCTGAAGTTTTCTACCCAGTATTTCCTTTTCTTCTCTTTTTACAAAGGTCAGACCTGCACCCTGGTCTGAAGGGTCTCCCTGCCAATTTGTGAGCCTTCCTACTTTATCTTTCACAGGCATTTCCACCAGTAAGTATCTTGCATTTCTAATACCTTCTTGGCATCTGCTTCTTGGAGGCCTAGAACTGACAGGTGGTACACTGAATGGTGCAAGAAAACAGGCAGTAGGATGGGGTTTTGGGAATGGCTTAGTCCCTGGCACAAGGGAGCTACCTGAGTGCTGAAGATTTCACCAGTAGTGACCTAGGAAAACATCCCAGAGGAGGGGGATCTTGTTGCCTATGCAACAATTCAGGCATTTGAAAGATATGGGGGAAATGATGAACTGAGGGCACTTAAAAGTTAATGGCTAAATTTGGGAGCCAAGGGGCCTCTCTGGAGCTTAAGAAAGGGGCTCTTATTTCCTGCAGTGGAAGAGCAGAAATGGGATTTGATAGTTACAGAGCTCCAAGGATATTTGAATGGTCAGCTTAGGCAAGTCTGTTCTGTAGTCAAGGCCCTGCTTGGGAAAGCCTGAAGCTTTGAAACACAGGATAGATGCCCTTGAGGATTTTGGCTCTGCAGACACCTCTGGACCTTCAGAGCTTGCAGAAGCAGCTTATACCTTCTAGTAAGAGCAAGTACTCTCTTTCTTGCAGAGAGACCTCTTCCACAATTGCTCTCATTTCCTCTCCTTGCTGTGATGATATGATAACCGGGTTAAATCTCAGCATAATCTGTCTGGGCACTGCTGGTTCTGCTAAGGGAAAAAAGATTATACACTGAAGGAATTGAAATAAATTAGCATGTATTATCAGGAGCCAAAGCAGTACACTTGGGATTGGATTCTGAGGGTGCTCAGTTAAGGGGGTTGGAACTTAAGACTGGAAAAACAAGACTTTATTGACTTAGGGCACTTTGGGGGGGCAGAAGATTTAACCCTGGCAAGAACCCCAGGGGCTGGGGCAAACTCACTGCTAGGTTAACTCTTTGAAGCCTGGAAGAAGGCTGCTCATGCTTAAAGGAGTGGAAATGAGCTCACACCAGGGCAGCTTTGGACTCCTGGAGAAGACAGCTATTTATTTTGGCATACCTATGTGGTTACTGCTCATTTAGTCCTGTTTTATATAAAAAGTGTTTTTTAGATGGTTGTCTACAAAAGTTTCTGTTCTTCTCTCTCTCCTTTTTAATCTCATCACATTGATTAGGACCTCCAGAACACTGTTAAGAGTAATAGTGGTGATTCCTGTTTTATTTCTTTAATGGCTGTATCTTCAGTGTTGTATGTATGTTCTTAATTTCTGATAGATGCCACCTACAAAGTTAAGGACATCCCCTGATATTCTAAACTCTCTGGGAAATGTATATTGAATTTGATAAATCACCTCTTTCATTTTTTTTTTTTTCTTGGTGGCTGGCTGGTACAGGGATTTCAACCCTTGACATTAGTGTTACAAGGTGCCACTCTAACCAGCTGAACTAACTGGAGAGCCCTGCATCTGGTTTTCCTCTCAATATATTTTTAAAGATAATTTATATCTGTTTTCATAAATGATAATGATCTACATGTTTTTATGCTTGCTTTAAAAAAAAATCATCTAGTTTGAATCATTGACAATTGCATTAAATTTTATAGCCACAATATAAAAAACTGTGTTTATAGCCAACTGCTCAATTTTGGTTTTCATGAAACATTGGGTATTTTTCAGTGTTTCCCAGCACATGTAGAATAAAGTTCACGGTCCTAAGTCTAAACCCCTCCAAAATGTAACCTCTATTTTTCTGTCTTGTTCATCCACTGATAAAAGTTGCTACTCCACAGGCTGCTTTTCTCTTTCTTAGTTTTCCTTTAAAGTCCAGCTCAAATATGACTCTCTATTGAAATCCAATTAAAATCCATTTCTTAGAAACCTTCCAGCTACAATTAACGTGTTTCTCTCCTCTTTTTATACCTTGACTTTTAAAAAAACTTTTACTAGAGCGTTCATTAATCTTTTCATTAATTAGTTACAATATATTAGACTATATTTAAGTCTGTGAAGGAAACAAACTATTCCATAGCGTAATACTATGCTCACAATAGGTAAAGTTTTTATTACATTAAAATTTTGTAAATTTCAGTTATTTTAAAAACTGTTGCAATGTGTTGAAATATATTCGAGATGGTAAAACTGGGATTGCTTTAAATATTGCCTGTATAAAAGTCACTTATTCCCCATCTGCTTTCTAGGACATTCACTTATATATGAGTATGTTGGTTGAAGACTTCACACTCATATTCAACATGTCAGACGTCTTTCTCATCAAAACTATTTTGCCCCTCTAATTTCCTATTCATGTCACAGATCCTATTGTTCTTATAATCCTGAAGCTGAAATCCTCAGCCATAACTGCTTTTCTCTCTTCCTTCCACATTCCACCCACACTCCTTTCTATCTAGGTTATTTGAAGTCTACCCATTGTCTCTTTATATTTGCAGTGCAGTATCTTGGTATCTGCTCAGCCTGCTTTTTCTGAATACGGTAGTCCCCCTTTATCTGTGGTTTCACTTTCCATGGTTTCAGTTACTAGCAGTCAACCATGGTATGAAAATATTAAATGGAAAATTCCAGCAATTCATAAGTTTTAAATTGTGAGCTGTTCTGAATAGCAGGATAAAGTCTCATGCCATCCTGCTTAGTCCTGCTGGAGTTGTGCGTGAATCATCTCTTTGTCCAGCTTATCCAGTTTATGCTCCTCCATTAGTCACTCTGTAGCCTTCTCCATTGTCAGAGCAACTGTTGCGGTATCACAGTGCTTGTGTTCAAGTAACCCTTATTTTACTTTATAATGGCCCCAAAGCATGAGTAATGATGCTGGCCTATTGTTATGATTGTTTTATTATTATTGTTGTTAATCTCTGTGCATAATTTGTAAATTAATCATAGTATGTATGTATAGGAGAAAACACAGTATAGTATATATAGGGTTTGGTATCCATTGGGGGTCTTGGAATGTATCCCCTACAGATAAGGGGAGGATCACTGTACTCTCTTTCCAGGAGTGGGATCTTGGCAATTCTCTGACTTTTTTCCATTATCAGGCTTAGAGTTATCAGATTTAGCAAATAAAAATACAGGACATTCAGTTAAATTTGAGCTTCTGATAAACAAGGAATAATTTTTTAGTGTTAGTATACCCTAAATAGTTCATGGGACATACTTACACTGACTGAACATTTGTTTATCTGAAATTCCAATTTACTTTGGCATACTGTTATTTTATCTGGCAATCCTAATCAGGTTTAACATCTTTCCCAAGCTGAGCCTATCATTTTCTCAAGGAGAACTCAACCTCATGGTCTGGTAACATCCTGTGGGACAGCCATCTTTTTCCCCATGCTGAGAAAATAGGTTTGCAGAGAAAAATAAAGCACTTGTATGACAAGAGGCACAAAAGAGAGGCTATGAGATTCTACAGGTAAGTAGACACAGGTAGAACTACTTAGTCTTGATGACTTGTAAGTACAAGTTCCAGTCTACCACTGGGTGTAAGACTTAGCTTCTATGAAATAAACTCATAGCTCTGATAAACTTTCCGCTTTGCTCTAGCTTAACTAAGGTTGGTTTCTGTCCCTTGATAGCCAATGAGTCTTTAACTATAACATGGGTTCTCTTTCCTATTTCTAATGTCTACTACCCTAGTCTCAACTCTCATAAGCCTGGAATTTTGCAAAAGCCTATTAAATTTGTCACATGATCCCATGTCTATCCTTTCCTTGGAAGTAACCAGGCATATTTTTGCCTGATTAAATGCTTTGAAAATATCACAAAATATCTCATTTTATATTCTTGAATAAACTTTGCTTTCTAATTCTGGTAAAGAACAGACACAAAATTAAGGAATACAAGACTAAGTGAAATTGGTTTATAAAATGAAAAGGCTGTTCTATCGTCTAAACATATAATACCAAGTGAAAAAGAAATTAGTCCTTCTATCTAGAATTCTTTCCCAAATAGCTGCACATCTCCTTCCTCCACTTCATTCAGGTTCTGCTCAAATGCTACCTACTCACAGAAGCTGTACTGGATCATTTTTATCTAAAATAATAACTTTTGGGGTTGGCCAGTTAGCTCAGTTGGTTAGAGCAGCTGCCTTGTAATGCCAAGGTCAAGGGTTTGGATCCTCCTACTGGCCAGCCACTGAAACAAAAAAAAGTAACTTGTTTTTTTTTAATCACTCTATCCCCTTAACCCAGTTGTTTTTCTCTAAAGCACCTCGCCTCTCCCTGATATGTTGTATACTTATTTACTATCAGTTTCCATACACTAGAATTTGATCACTGTAATTTTAGCTGTTTTGTTTACTAACACATCCCCTGCACACGTTATAATGCCTGGCACACAGTAAGTGCTGAATAAATGAATGCTGTGTTTGGCAGAATTAAACTACAGAAGATGCTGATATTCATATTTCTATCTTAGATCCAGAAATTTAAGATTTCTGTAAGAGAAGAAAAAATTGTAACAGAACAATAATTTACGGAGTACGAGTAAGTGTGTGTGTCAAAATAAAGGTCTTAAAGGAAAAAGTCCTGGTAAGTATCTATATTGAGCTAACTACCAAAGATGGTTACTCAATTTAATTTGAGTCATTATAAATTAGTTTTTAGCATATAACCTTCACGGAACTTTCTTGGAACTTAGGGGAAACTACTAAGATTTGAGTTAAGAAGAAAACAGGAAAAGTTCAGATGAAGTGTAGGCTCTTGGTTTAAATGGAAATTGGGATCTTTTTAGTGGTTTCAAGTTAGTGAGCTAAATTTTTACTTTGTGGCACTATTGTTCTCCAGAGTTTGTTTAAAAACTGGCTTCATTTTTCCATATTATTAGAAGCTGAGAGTCCTTTTGAAAAAGAAAATAGGAAACTTAAGGAAAACATAAATTGCAATTTTGAAATTTTACCCTTAAGGATTATGTCTTAAACAGAAAGCAAAAGTGAGAATAAAAAAATTATGTCACTATTATTAAATAAGTCTATCAAATGTAGAACACAAATAGTTTAAATTTAATCTTTCATTTTCAATTAATCTTTAATATTTCAGAAAGTATATCAACATTGCCTAACATGCTGTTTATATACAACAGATACATAGTAAATTTGGGGGGGGGGGAGTGGCTCGCCAGTATGGGGATCTGAACCTGTGATTTGGTGTTATAAGGCTGTGCTCTAACCACTTAGCTCACCTGGTCAGCCTAAAAACAGTATCTATTGACTTAAATACACACATCTTAAAAATCTTTGGTTTGGCCAGCTAAATTTTAAATGTTTTATCAACTAGTTATCCCTGAGTCATGAATATATATATATATATATTTCAAGTGTGTATATATATATATATATATATATATATTTCTTTTTTTTATCAGATTTATAAAAGGATTATACATTCTGAATTATAACTTCCATGTATCATTTTCTTGTAGAATTATAACATATGATATTTTAAATGTTTGGAATAAACAACTTGACAGATATAACTAATAATTATATGAATAACCTCCACATATGACTATTTCTTTTTTTTCTTTTTTCTTTTTTTTTCCTTTTTGTCTTTTTTTGTGTCCGGCAACGGATCGCAACCCTTAGTGTCGCGCCCGTACCGGACCGGGACCGGCCACGGGATCGCAACCCTCAGTGTCGCACCCGCACCTCGCTCAGCCAGTGAGCGGGAACCGGTCTGTATGTGGGATCCGAACCCTCAGCAGGAGTGCCGCCACGCTCCCAAGCGGCGCACTGTAGCAGTGCGCCACCGGGCCGGCCCACATATGACTATTTCAATCACCTATTTTTTTTCTTTTTTGGCAGCCTACTGGTATGGGGATCTGAACCCTTAGCCTTGGTGTTATAACACCATGCTCTAGTCAGCTGAGCTAACCAGCCAGCCCTTCAAACATCTGTTTATTAAGTGAAAATCATAATTCCTTTCTAGTTCATATGCCAGGAACATTCATACTTTTAGCAACATACACATAAAAAAAATGACCTATTTTTATTTATGAGTAAATGATTTTTCTATATGTGTAGGTAAATTTGAAAAATATACTACCTCATTCTAGTTAGAATCCTATTTATAATATTTACTCCGCTATGTTTATATAGGTTTGTGATCAATTTGAAAGGTGTCATATTATTAAAAACAGGTCAAATTAGCTCCCTCACCTCTGTACTGTATCTGGTAACTGTTCTGAACAAATAGGCACTGGCTTTGAAAATGGCACATTCCGGTTGTGAAACAGCTGTAGGCAAGTAAAGCTGTTGGGCAGAGGTGAGCTGCATAATGACTAAGAATAAATAGCCACTACTATGTATAAAGAAGAAAACTGAGACATGTAGTAAGAGCCATTATAATATGTGATATATTAATTCTAAGTTTTTTTAGATATTTCAGAATACTTTATGAAAATTATGTAATTTTCAGAATTACAAGAAAAGGGTAATCTGTCCTAAGATGTATAAATCATTTACTTTTAATAATAAATACTATTGATTTATAATGTAAATAAGTATAAGTGAATACAGGTTACTGTTGAAATAAAAAAATTGGCACAGGTAAATGAGCATTTTAATACAAATAATTATAATGTCTATATTATATATAAATCTACACATTAGAAGATATTATTAGAATTTTGCTCTACAGAATATCACCTTAGAATTCTCTTTAAAAAAATTCACTGGGAAGAATTAGATGATGACTGTGAAATAGGTTCTCCCATTACAATACTGTTTCTCTCATTTAGGGTCCTGACGACAGTTGTGGCTGGAGACTGAAGCACTTTACGAGAAAGCCTCATTCTTCCATCAGCTGGATCTCGTCCAAAGTATTTCACCTGTGTTAAAGAAGCATATTTACTTTTAAAGTTATAGCACATTGATTAAATCTAAACTAAAAGACATTTAAATTTACATGGTCGAAATAAAGCAATGATTGCACTCTAACTGAGCTAACTGGCTGGCCTCAAGGCAATGATTAATGTTTTTACTTATTCACTGAAAGCATAGCTCAGTGCTAAGTAAAGGTATATGCTTAGTAAATATAATTTGGTTAAGAAGTTATCAAAAAAAGATAAGAGACAAGGTCATTTAGTTTCCAATTATAATCTTGTGTTAAACTCATCTGTGCTTTTTTATTTTTTTCAGGCCAAGTCCCTATATTGGAAAAATAGTCAAAGCCATGGTGAGTGATTCTAGCCAATGGCTTTCTGAGCCTAATTGTGCTACAAACTGTACAGGATTAAGCTTAGGTCACTAAGATTTTCACTACTCAAAGGATCATCCCACTAGAGTTTATTTGGCTTCACCTTGGAAAATTTAAGGTTTGAAGTCCCTTCTGATGTATATATATAAAAAAAACCCAGCCTTATAGAGATATTATGTCTTAGTTCTCATCTTTCCCTGAAGGCTACCTGAATAGTGGGGCTATAGACTGGGAGTAAACTAGAAGTCTTAGTTACTCAGGTTGTGGGTATTAGGTATAACTGGAACAGAATGTGGTGCAGCCAAAAATAGTGGCAATGACTTCTTTCATCCACTCATAAAGGACTACAAAAAAGGGTCAACTTTGTTATCAGAATCCTAGGCCTCAACAACATGGACTCCTATCAAGCTCAAAAACTTTTAGCTCAGTTGGTTAGAGTGCAGTGTTGATAACACCAAGGTCAAGGGTTTGGATCCCCATAACAGCCAGCCACAAAAAACCCCACAAAAAACCAAAAAGAACAAAAAAACCCTTTTAGCCTCGAGTAGTGGAGAAACAACATCTGAACACCTCAAAGATGACAGTCAAGGCTTTCAACAAAGTTACATCATCATAGTTCTCATGTCTGTCTCCAAAGTGGAGTCTGCACAGCCACCACTGACCTACTCTTGGATTTTGTAAAAGCTCTAAAGATGGCTACCGTTTTAGCTAAACTGTAAGCTCCCTGAGGGAAAGAACTGTCTTAAATTCTTAATGTGTCTGTTTAAGCAACCGTTAAGTTAAAAAAGAAGCACTGTTTATAAATACATATCACAGATGTTGATTCTATTCTTTCAGCTTACTTTTTGAAAATAATATTTAAGAATTCAATTGCAACTTACAACTTTAAGGCTAAAAGGTTGAACATAGGTACCTGAATTTCTTGGCCAACTTCTAATCCTAGGGCAGTGGGATGTTTAATCTGAAAGAAAATATGTTAATCAATTAGTTGTGCATAATTATCTAATATCCATGGAAGTACACATTTTTTCCCTAAGTGGAAAACAGCTTTATTGGTTTTTCTGGTTATAAAATCTGTTAATTATAAATATCTAAAATAATATAGAAGTATTCAGAAGAAAGTAAAAATCATCCCAAAACCTCTCTTCTTGTAGATAGCTACTGCTTACATTCCAATGAGTACCACTTCAAATGTCTATTTAGTGGGTGTGTATTGCATGTATAAAAGTAGACCTTTCTGTGCTTATTTTTTTATAATTTGCTGATTTTTCACTCAATAAGTTACGGATGTCTTTTCATATTAGTAAATGAAGCATTACAGTTCAGTATTCAAACTGTTTCATTTATTTAACCCATACCCTAAAGATGGTCATTTAATCTGTTTTGAATTTCAGTGCTGTAAATGTTAATGAATGGTGGATCTAGGTGAAAGGTAAATTATGAGTGTTCAGTGTATTAATCTTTCAACTTTTTTGTAGGTTTAAAATTTTTACAAATAAAAAGTTGAGGAAAAATAAGTTGCAGTGTTGCACTAATTATGTATTCCAATAATTATCCTCTCAGAACAAAGTCCTCCATGTGGAACTTCTAGGTTCCTAGGCATTTACCTTCCCAAAAGTTTGTCCCAATTTACACTCTGTAGTGGATTGAATTATGTCCCCTGAAAACTCCCTGAAGGTTGAATTGTGTCCCCCAAGTTTTATGTATTAGAAACTTTTATGTATTAGCAACTATAACTGTTAAGAGGGTGGGAGATCCTATTATGAATTGAAAGGTGGAGCCTTGAAGAGGTGATTGGATTGTAGGACCATGCAGTAGTGAATGGATTACAAATGGTAGGCAGGGGTGTGGTTCTGAGGGTTTTAAAAGAAGAGGAGAGTTTGCCTTTTGCTCTCTCTGCTCTCTCTGCTTCCACCATCTAGCAATGTGAGACCCCTGGGTCACTGTCGCCACCACCAGATGGACTCTGGATTTCCCAGCCTCAGAAAGTGTAAGCAATAAATTTCATTTTTCTTTATAAATCACCCAGTTCAGTGTACTTTGTTATAAGCAACAAAAGCAGACTAATACAGAAAATTGGTACCACAGAAATGGGGTGTTGCTTATAACAAATACTTGAAAATGTGGAAGCTGCTTTGGAACTGGGTGTTAGGCAAAGGTTGGAGGAGTTTGGAGGACTCAGAAGACAAAAAGATGAGGGAAAGTTTAGAATGTCTTAGAGACTGGTTACATGGTGGCAAGCAGAATGCTTATAGAAATATGGACTGTAAAAACCATTCTAAGGAGGTCTCAGATAGAAATCAGAAGGAGTTTATTGGAAACTGGGGCAAAGATCACCCTTGTTCTGAACTGGAAAGGAACTTGGCTGCATTGTGTCCATGCCCTAGGACTTTGTGGAACTTGGAACTTAGGAGTTGTGAACCAGATCATTTGGCCAAAGAAATTTCTAAGCAGTAAAGCATTAAGGAAGCTTCATGGCTACTTGTAACAGCCTACGCTGTTATGGCAGCAAAGGCATGACATAAAGCCATAATTTAAAAGGGAAGCAGAGTGTAAAAATTTAAAAAGTTTGCAGCCTGGCCACGTGGTAGAGAAGCAGAGAGCATGCAATGGTGCAGCCCAGAGAACAGTTAGCTAATACTATTAGTACGAAGAAAGGGGATTATCAAGAGAAGGGGGAAAGGGTCCTGAAGGCACTGCAGAAGTCTCTGGGGCCAATCTTTCTATTTCAGGCACAGAGACCTAGGGAGACAAAATGGTCTTGGGGAAATGGCCTGAGGGCACCCTCCACAGGCTCACTGCTCAGGACCACCTTGGGAAGCTGCCTCTAGCATCGGCATCCCAGCTGCTTTGGCTGCTCCAATTGTGGCTAAATTGGTCCCAGTTGTGGCTGGACCTGAAGCTTTGGAAGACACAAGCTAGAACCTTGGCGGTGTCCACATAGTGTTAAGTCTTTAGGCTCACAGAATGCCACATTCGAAGGATGTGTGGAAAAGTCTGGGGGCCCAGGAAGAGATCTGTCGTAGGGACAGAGTCACCACAGACAATGTTCACTAGAGCAGTGCCAAGCAGGAATGTGAGGTTGAACAGAGAAACCCTACCAGCTCCATGCCTGTGGAGCCATGAGAGTGGGACTGCCATGGAGACCCCAGACCTGTGGAGTTACTAGGGTGCAATGCCAACCTGCGAGAACCAAAGTATCATCTGAGACCAGGAAAGCCATAGAAGTGGAGCTGCCTGAGGACTTGGGGACCCAACCCCCACACCAGTGTGCAGAGGATGTTGAACATGGAGTCAAGTTACAAGATTCACCAGCTTTAAAATTCAATGTATGTCCTGCTGGATTTCAGACTTGTTTGGGACCTGTTACCTCTTTCTTTTAGCCTATTTCTCCCTTTTGGAATGGGAATATGTACCTTATGTTTGTCCCACCATTTTATCTTAGACGTAGATAACTTGTTTTTAATTCACAGATGGAACTTGAACTTTGGACCTTTGAGCTGAAACGAGTTAAGACTTTGAGGATGAAATTAATGCATCTGAATGTGAAAAGGACATGAATTTTGGGGGGCCAGGGTGGAAGGTAGTGAATTGAATTATGTCCCCCCAAAACTCCCTGAAAGTTGAATTGTGTCTCCCAAGTTTTATGTATTAGAAACTTTTATGTATTCGCAACTGTGACTGTTAAGAGGGTGGGAGATCCTATTATGGTAATTGAAGGGTGGAACCTTGAAGAGGTGATTGGTTTATAGGACTGTGCAGTAGTAAATGGATTACAAATGGTGGTCAGGGGCATGGTTCTGAGGGCTTAAAAAGAAGAGGAGAGTCTTCCTTTTGCTCTCTCTGCTCCCACCATCTTGCAATGTGAGACCCCTGGGTCACTGTCGCCACCACCAGATGGACTCTGGACTTCTCAGCCTCAGAAACTGTGAGCAATAAATTTCATTTTGTTTATAAATCTCTCAGTTCACTGTACTTTGTGATAAAAAAACGGACTAATACACACTCCTTTCAACAGTATTTGAGAACATCCATCTTTTCTCTTACATTGGCAATTTTCAACTACTTAAAAATGATACCTTAATTTTAGTTGTATTTTTTTAAAAAATGCCATTGACATTAAATACCTTGGGTGGCTTTTTAAAAACACAATTAGCCTGTCCATGTTCTTTGTACATTTTTCTATTGATATCCATCTTCTTTACTGATCTATAAAAGCTCTTTGTATATTAAGTCTTTGTCATATGTTTTTATCATTTTCCCCCTAGGTTGTTGCTTGTCGTTCAGTCTTATTACAATTTTTGCCATATAATTAACAAAAAAATTATGGTCAAATTTTCTCAGTTTATTTACATTTTGGTTTGACATCATGCTGAGAAAGAGTTCTCTAGTACCAAGATTATTAAAATGTCCATACTTTCTTCTAGTCCCTGTGGCCCCCTCCTACCCCTCCCCTCAACACTACAAGATTTTTTTTCTTTTCCTACCACTTTTTTTTTTTTTTTTTTTTAACATTTATCTCTTTAATGTGGAAAGGATTTTGGTATAAAAAGTGAGTAGAGATCCTGCTTTATGATAACCAGCTGTACCAATATAATTTACTGAATAATCTTTATCTCTTCTCAGACTAAAAATGCAATGTTTAGCATGTATAATATATAGTCCAGTGGATTTAATTGGGCTTATTTTTGGTCTCTTTTTTCTGTTGCATGGATTATCTATTTCTGGGCCAGTAATGTACTGTT